GTGGGATAATGCATTTTGGGATAATGAATTTCAGAAGTTAATTATATGGAGCGTGAGGGGTTTTTTGTTGTTGTTGTTGCTGTAGTGTTGCTCTAAATCTCCTTCCAATCAGCTTAATTGGATGGCTCCTGGTCCTACTGTTTTGAGACAGAGAAATACTTCTTCCTGCCCACTTTCTTCATGCTAGGCATGATTTTACACACCGTTCCTCAATCATCTTTTTCCCAACTTCAAGAGTCCTAGACTTTCTAACTTTTCTTGTACGAAAAGTGTTTAAATTCCATAATCATTTTAATTTCAAATGTGGCAACCAGAACTGTACACGGTATTTTAGAGATGGATGGATGTACATTTTTGTAAGGGCATTACATTTTCATTTGTTTTATTTCAGTCCCTTTCCTAATGATTCCTATGATAAAATTTGCCTTTTTCATAGCTTCTACACATTGAAATGACATCTTCATTATCCACTATCACCCCATGAACTCTTGACTGATTAGTTATAGGCAGCTCAGACCCTATTAGAGTATACAGTATGTGAGGTTAAGGCTCTCTGCTGCAGTGTATCACATTACATTCACTTGAACTGCATTTATTATTTAGCTGACCATTCACTCTATTCTGAGCTAATGGAGCTCCTTCTGGTTTTTTTCATTCTTCACCAAGCTGAATAGTGTGATATCATCCACAAAGCTGTCCAACTTGCTGCTTGCTTCTAAGTATAAATACACACTTTTGTGATGAACTTGATATATGCTTTAAACTTCATATTGCCTGTATCACCATTGATTCCCATGACGATCAGGATGTAATATGGATTCTGTGAGGTTAGAGAGGGCATTTGGAAGTGTCGACAAGCTGTCTCATCTCATGCTAATGTAAGACGAGAGCCTCAACAACTCTTATATTCAAGAATCTTTTGAAAGCTATGAGTTTTTGGAACTAAACCATCCTAATTAGTTCCTCATCCATGCAAGGACAGAATAGGCTTTATTGCACCACTTTCAGTAGGAAATAGTCTGATCATCATGAAGTCCATTAAAATCTTCCAATTTCAGATAATTTCTTTGAAGCCCAGGAACAACTGAATTGAAATATGCCCTGCTTTATGTGTCAAGTTAATTGTCATTGCAGCCTTGAAATCCTGATGTAATCTGACAATGACTTTATTTATTTATTTATAAGATTTACATATCTTATTAATATAACAACAGTAAAAACAATAAAATCAGTTAAAAAAAGCATAAAAATTCCTGGTGCCCCAAAAACTACACACACCCCACACATCCAAAAAAACTTTACTGTGCTCCAGCCTCCCACTGCCACAGAGCTTGTGGGAAAAGCCAGAGGGGCCTGGCAACTCTCAAGCAGAAGGGTGTTCCGACCTTTATCATGAATGTTGGTCCTTTGTACTCACATTTAATTTCTGGTATCCATATTCATTGTGATACCATACTGGGATGTTCAATCTAAGAAGCAACTGTGTAGCAGGGCGAGCAGAGACATTAGTAACATCCCCAATCTGCCCTTTGACCCATTTGGCCCATCACCAGAAGCAAAACATCAAAGTTGCTTAGTGAGAAGGGTGGAATTATTATGGACTGCCACAATCCCTCTCTCCACAATATAGTTACACATGTGATGGTACACAACTGACACACCCAAGATCACTGTGAATCAGATGCTAAGACAGCCAGATCGATCACAAAAGAGGAATGTGTTTCTTTTAACCCTCTTTTCACTCTATAATATTGTTTGGATATTCTCTTTTTCACCAAAAATCTCTGTGCTTTGAAGATTTGGCCTCTCTCTCTCTGCTTCACCCTTTCCCTCTCTTTTCACCAAGGTAGTAGGGGAATGACTAAGTAGATGCTTCTCTGATTTATTTGAATATGGGTTCTTCCTTAACAGTAGGAAATTGAACTTAGTCTGTGTTTGCTGAATCCAATTCAGGTAGTGTTTTTGTTTAGAGATTTATATCCAATTGCTCAGTATAATTTTTCCCATATAACTGTTTTGTTCAGTTTCTCAATGATAATATTAAATAGCTATTAGAGTTTTGTGAAATTTCACTTTTTAA